TCAAATTGAATGCATCTAGCCTTCCATTCTCCTCTATTTATTTGGGCATTCCTTTTTTGCTGTCCATTCGACAAATACACTTTTTGTCCTTTTCTCTTTTAGACACCATTACTTCCATTTCAACAACTCCACTACTTTCTACACTAACCAATTCTGCTCTTAACATCTTGTTCTCATTCTCCAAAGCCAATTTTTTATTTTTAAGCCTGTTAAACATATCTTTGTACCAACTCGATAATTCAACATCAACCCATTCAAAAAAATGCAGGCTCTTGCTCCACCACCACCGGGCTGTAGTACTCAAAATAAGATTCAAAAGCAAATAAACCTAAAATGTGATAATTAATTTCAAGAACAATTACTGAATACCCTTTATTAACCTGCCAAAATGGGCATTTGTAGTACCTTCTTCTTGGGTTTAACTCACTCGTGCTAACGTGAAACCGTGCCGCTAATCCCTGATCACAAACAACTTGTCTAGCACTAGATCGATCCACAAAAGGTCGAAGAAAAGGGGTAAATGTTGAAGATGAAGCCCTAGACTTCATCTTGGTTTTAGGACAAAAATCAAGGACTTCAAGAATGCTTTGCTCTGTCTCACTTGCACCTCCACCTCCGCCCCTAGTTCTCCACTTCCATCTCCACCTCCACCCGTGCCTATTTTGTTGTCTCTTAAATGAGTATTGAGCTTTGCCTTCACCTCTGCTCTTCACCTCTGCCACTGCGCAATCACCTACACCATCACCGTCTCTGTCTCATGCAGTCAAATCAAATCACCAGCTTCTACACCGCCTTTGTCAGAAACGACAACTACTCCACCCACTGTCGAACTGTCTCCATCTCCATCTTCAATCTCTTCAACTCCTACAGAAGATTGGTAGGAAATTGCAAGGAGGTAAGAATGAAGGATGAGAAATTTTTCAGATGAGAAATTTTCCAAATTTGACTTGTGGATTCGAGAACAAAGAATGAAGCATGTTAAAATTAGGGATGTTATCCCTAATTCATGGGAATCCTTGGTCAGAAAGACCAAAAGGCCCACCACTGGGTTCCAATTATTTGTGGAGTTAAAAATTCATGTTCACATGGCATCCACATGGCAAAGGTAATTGACATGTCAACATCATTTTTTTCCAATTGCGTTACAATTGGGTGAGTGTGACTGACATTAACGGTGGGTTTAAGAGATTTGACGGAAGTTAGTTTTCTATCAAATTGGGACGTTATTTGAGAATTTTGTGGAGTTCGGGGCCTTAATTGAGCGCAATTGTAAATTTTGTGTAAGTTAGGGTCGTTATGTCATATTTTTGCCTAATGAGAAATTCTTCAATATATACAATAGGCAATGAACAACATCATTAATATTGATGTGGTATTCTTGTCTATTAAAATAGTTAATGTAGTGACATATTAATATAGTTTAATGTAAGGTCAAATGAATTGCATTCTATTGGTCTTTGATCAACAAGTCTAATAATAATCTATTACATCGAACATAACAATGAAAAGAGAACAAGTTTCATGTAAAGAATAAAGATATCTTGTAAAACATGCTTCAATTAACAAAAGGTATGTTTCTATAATTATTTTTTTAAAAGAGAATAACAAAAAAGAACTCTCATGGTACATACTCTTATAAAATCATAAGTTAAAAACAGAAAAGATTTGGCCTCTTGGGATGTAGTTCCCAAAACAAATAATAATAACAATAATAATAATAATAATAATAAAATATTGAGGGATAGTATCAATATCAATAACCATTCATGAGTGGATTACATTTTTCTAATAGTTAAAAATGGGCAACAGTATAAGATAGCATCCAAGGAACAACAAAGTACACACCAAGGTATGAACTGAAAACAAGAAAAATTAGAAAAGGCAAGCATTAAAAGGAAAATTATACAGCTCCCACAAGATATGAATTCAGAAAATATCAATTCTACCTTATAAAAATGACTTTTATTCAATAATGATATTTAAATACTTATATAAACCAAACTACTTTCAATGCTAATGACTTAGTGTTAAAATGAAATTCCACTTGAAGGAGAAGTTAAAAGAGAATCTACTCAGAAGATATTCTAAAAGGTTCCAAGAAAAAACGAAGATGCTCCAAACTTTTATGCAAAAAAGAAAAAGAAAAAAAAAACGTTTCCTGAATTTCCATCCTTTCTTCATTTTAGCAATCATAAAAACTATCTCATGTTCAAAATTAACACCTCTAAATAAAAGAAACAACTACCGAATCTTAAGGAAGAAGCAATATGCTCCAAATTTGACCATTCATTCTCTCTAGTCCACTTTAATCGCCCTCTTTCCATCCTTTTTTTTTTTTTATAATAAACCCCTACTTTTGCAACAAGTTACACCATTATGCTCCTCTGGTTGATGAGTAGTTTCTCCATCCTCTTAATCCTCAATCCTTTTTTCTCAAATAAAAATATAATCAACATCTCCTTCAACGTCTCCCATGGCCGAAGCATCTTGAAGGGCATATAAATTCTGAGTATCAATTGCAAACACTTGACTACCCTTGCTGTTGAAATTTTGTTTATATTAGCCATTTCCATTACATCTCTCTCGCCAAACTCAAGAATTCTTCGAAATTGTTCATTGAAAATGTAGGAGAATAAAAAATCAGACTACTTATCAGATTCTTTATCAAAAATCTCATTAAAAAAAAACCTTCTCAATCGTGCTACGAAATGGCAATGTCCTCTTAGCCAAGTCCAACACAGTAAAAACCGAATCATCATCCTCTTCTTTATTCTCATATGATGCCAAAAAAAGATCCACAATTTTAATAAAAAGCAAACCATCAATCACAATATCAAATTTATCCGTGGTTACCGTATCTAGTGGTATTTTGATTATCTGCTCCTTAAGGGAATGCACGTAGGCAATCTTATGTCGATGGATTCAACAAGTGGATGCCGAAGTTGAGAGTTTTCAAGTATTTTCTGTCCCTCTCGATGACGTAGGCACGGTTTTTCCCAAAATAATGGATACCCTTGTTAGCTGGAGGACGTATCCTCTTGTGCATTGGCAAATATCTATCTAAAAAGAGATATTGCGATGGCCGAGTTGAGAAGCTGCGGCAGAGGCTTCCCATTTGCCTAAGGGAGGTGCTTTGGTAGAAATTTGTAGCGACTGTTGAGTGGCTCAAGAAGATGTGGTTTTGGGGTGGTTTTAATGCGGCTAGACATGAAAAGCTGGAGGGAAAGATTCTTGATTCCTGGGATCCGATGGACTTGATGAGGCTGCTCCTGAAAGTATTCATGGCAACTGCTCAAAATATGATGATTTTAAGTTTGAGGGTTTTTCATTTTTTTTACTAGTTAATAAAGAAAAGGATAACTAATGATATATTGGGTCGAGTAAAAGGAGTTCTACTTTTTTTCAAGTAAAGTGGTTTGAATTCAAATTAATTAAGATTCAATGTAATTATAAGATACTGAAAAGTAAAAAAAAAAAAGAAGAAAGAAAGAGGGAAGGGACGCAAATCTAGTATTTTAAAGTTTGAGCCCAACTGTAACTCCTTTCGGTTTTGTGATCACTTTTTGGGCCGAAATTCTGGGCCTGAGAACAACTTTTACTAATAAGCTAAACTCTCTCTTTGTATCTCATATAATTTTTTTTATCAACATTTCTAAAACTTTGTACCTCTAATAAATATTTTTTATAATTTAAAATTTATAAAAATTTTAAAAATAAACAGTTAAATTTTTTATTTATATCTTGATTTTATTAGTAATTAAACCGTTTTTTATGAGTTTTAAATTATAAAAAATGTTAATTAAAAGTAAAATTTTTAAAAAATATTAATCACAAAAAATAATATACAAAATACAAATAAATGATTTGGCCTTCTTACTATCCTCTTTTATATTTTTTTTATTTGATTATTTATTGCTAGATAAGTGAGCTATTTATTTGAAGAAAAAAAGTATTGTGCAATCTAAATTACACAAAAAAAAATTATTAAATAAAATTTAGACTTTTTAATATTAAAAATTCTTATCAATCCAATAATTTTTATTTTACATTTAAATATAGTTATCCAATTAAAGAGGTTCCCTTTACTTAGTTATCCAATGTCTCCAGGCCAGACTGCCAGTAGTACCAGAAACAAAAATCAAAACTTAAAACAGGCATTCTGTGGGTCTACCATGGGGGACCGCCAATCGGTTACCAATCGTATAGGAGAAGCAGCAACGACCACCCATCTTAGATTCTTTCTTCTTTCTTTCTTTCTTCTTCTATTTTTTTTTTTTCTTTTAATAAGAGAAATAGCATTAAAATAAACGGCCAAAGTCAAGCCTGGGGTAGCCAACCCCCGCAGCATCAGCAAAACATAAAAGTTCAACATCTGCAGGCCAATTATACAAGACAACAAAAGTAGGAGAGTGCGTACACTTCTTGGCCATGTATCAGCAACCATATTACTCTCCCTGAAAACATGCCTCAGACGAATCCGGGAAATTATGTTCAAATGGCCCTGCAATCCATAAAAAGAGTGCCATGAGGGTGATGGAGATTTGAAGCAGTAGAAAGTAATTGATAAGCCACATAACAATCAGTTTCAACAATAACAGAATTAAAGTGCAAATTGATAGCAGTCTGAAGTTTATCTCTTATAACCCATAATTCTGCAGCTAAAGCAACGGCATACCCAATGTTTTTAATATATCCAAGGACCCACATGCCTTGTGAGTCGCAATACAAACCTCCACAACCACCCATACCTGGATTGCCCATCACAGAACCATCTATATTGAGTTTAACCTAGTCAAGGGAAGAGGTTCCCAAGAGATCAAATGGGGTTGTTTAATGTTACAACCAAGAGGGGTTGGTTGGGAGGCCCAAAACTCGACAGTGCGGTCAACAACCATATTATACATAGCTTGAACATTCACCTAATTATCACAGTAAATAACACAATTCCGTTGATTCCAAATCATCTACAAAACAAATCAAAATATAACAACCCAAGGTATACGATGGATGGAGCTAGGAGTCTTTTTACTAGCTTGAAGTTTAAGCCAAACTTTAAAGTCTATCGTAACATGGTCCACATCAAGACTTCCAAGGAGCAGCCTATTTAGAGCAGCAACTGCAGGAGGACAGCCTCTGAATATGTGATCTAAAGTTTCAACTTGATTATTACACGTCTTACCAATAGGATCTTGTACAATACCAAGGCAAAGGAAAAATTTTGTAGATTTAATTTTGTCGTGAACAAGAAGCCAAATAAAACTTTTAATTTTTGGCAGTGTAGGAATCTTTCATGTCCACCCCAATCACCTGAAAGCACATTTTGATTTAGAGTAAAGAATTCTGTGTGCTGAGGCCAATGAAAACAATCCATTAGCCTTACCTTTCCACGGCTACCTATCTTATCTTTTCAAATGTGTTTTCATCTCTAAAATCGAAACATTAAAAAAAAAAAAATATAATTAAGCGTTTCATCCCTTTCAAGTTGGAATTATACAATAAAAATGTAATTTAAACATTAAAACTATTTATACATTATTAATAAATTAACATAAAAACATTTTATTAAAATTTTTTAATAAATTTATAGTTTATACTACCCTTTTACTATGTATTTCAATAAAAAAAATACCTTTTTATAATTAATGTAGCAAAGAAAAGAGAAAATAATTTTAAAGAAACAAAAATGTGTCTCCTAAAGAAAATAGCCGCGGTTATGGCCGGATACTACCATATAGGGTCACACAAACTTTGACAT